TACATTTCGACTAACAACTCTAGTGTGTGATGAACTTTTAAAGGAAAACCCGTTGGGCACTTTACCCGGATCATGTGTTGTGTAATTAGGGATGAGAGGTTTGGTTTCGTAAAACCAGTTTGAACAGTTTTTTTACTGCACAAAATCTTGAATGTATACCCCTGAGACGAATGATATGTTAAAATAATGGCGTGACGATTAATATGATAATTTGTATGTGACGATTAAATTACAAAAAGGCATTCAAACAATAAAATTTTGACAATTGATTTATTATTAGAAAAGTATAAATAAAAAGCTATAATGAAATAACGGATTGTAAACAATCATTTAATAGAATATAACAACGGATCAAAATTTAACTAGATTTTCTATTCGAATAAATGAACGAACAAATGAATAAAATGAACAAACGAGTAAAACGAAAAAAACGAATAAATGAATAATTCGAATAAAATGAATAAAATAATAAACAAATAAACGAATAAAGAAAAAATGAATAGATAAACGAATAGAAACAATAAATCCAACGCCACAGATTGCTTCAGAACCTTTAATATCAGAATTAGATCATTACAGATAGATGACATCTATTATTGTGGCAGGCACATGCAAAAGAATACCCACTCGATTGGAAGTAATGTGGCACAAGATTATCTTGTCAAGAAACTAATATTGCATCATAACAGCATTTTTCAGTCGCTGTAAATACAATTATAGATTAGTTACATAATATTCTTATCTTATCATTTAATATTAACTATTTGTGTGACATTTTGATCATGTGTAACCAGTTCTAAAAAACTAAACCAGGGTCGGTTTCAAACCGTTTTTTGGCGATCCCTATCAATCACAGGACATGTCACACGGCTACTATGTGAAATGTCCACCCACCGATTAATTTTTGGGGGTGAATTTAATTGATGACAAATAAAAACAATAGATTATGAGGATGGTATTTATTTACTATTGAATAATTTTGAATGGTATGGTTATCAAGTCGAAATTTTTTTTATTTTCTTTTATTCAAGAATTTGAATCTTTTATATATATACATGTTTTATAATCAGAGGACTACGTTACGACTAAGTTTACTTTATCGAATTTGAAGATTTTGTCAACTAAGCATACCATTGTACTTCATCGACTTGGTCAATTTTTTGTCTCAGTCGATTTTATCGACCCTACAAATCAAGAAAATTTTCACGCCATAATATTACACTCGTAAGTTGTAATTGTAATTATTGCTGATTTTTGCGTGATTTCGCATAATATTATAAGGCCAATGTAAACTTACATAATAATAAGTAGTGCAATAACTGTATAAATTCACGCCCAGAAGAAATTCTTGATATGCTGCGCAAGTAATGCAATGTAACAAACAAAAATAAGTAATATTATGGTGTAGATTTACAGAAGAATTGTTGGGTGTTTTTCAAGAAGCTTCTTTGGTAGCTGAAGCTAACAACGATTTAAAAGAACTTGTCGACTTACTTGATGATTCTAATATTGAATATGAAGATCAACAATTATTGTTAGACGATTTAATAATTCAAATAGTGAAAAAATGATGAAAGTGATGATGATGACACAGACAGCAATGATGATGAATTTGGAGCAGCATTTGTACAAAGTTTACAGAACGAATAAGATAAACAATTCTGGCATATAAATAAGGAATAATAAGATATCAAATTTTTGCAAACTATCTGATAAACACTCTTTAAATATTTGGACATTCAATCAATGCTGAAAATGGCATATTTTAATATCATTTAGACAACATTTAGGCATTTCAATAGGCATTTGGCATTGTTTAGACTTTCAACATCATAATCAATTTAGACTTTCAACAGCCTAAATATCAAATGATGAAATGTTTCAACAAAGATCAAAACATTTCAACTAACAACACCCATTATCATTAGAATTTGTAGAAGTTTCGCTTCCCAAATTTCTGCAACAGTTCTTTTGGCTTCTAAATATTGAACTATGCTTCATATTTCAGGTTTATTTAATAGTTTAGAATCAAACGTAGTTGTATGCCAAAAGAAATGGCTTATTTATTTATTTATAAATTTATACACACTTTGATTCCATCTCCTGAGAAGCATCAGGTGAAACTAGTTTCTTAAATACTAAAATTATGCTTTGCTGCTTTCCTCACTCTGAAACACAGGAAGAATGCAAAGTCATTATTGTTAATTATTATCATTATCATTATAATCCTTATTGGTTGGGATTCGTACACATCTACGTACGAGCTTAAAAATTTTTTAGTACATTGCATGAATATATCATGCGATTTACAACAAAAAAAAAATTATGTATGTATATACAGTCAAACTTTATTACAGCGGATGAACAGAACACATAAGAAAGGATATGATTCATTTCATCGACAATCGCTTTGTCAACAATCATTTCGTTGACACACATTTTGTCGACAGTTCATATGATTTTAGCGTAACATACACATTGATTATAGAAGCATCAGGAAATTTAAATAAAAAGAAAATTTGGATACTAATTAATTTGCAAGCATATTCATGACTGAATTTCATGCATCTTGACAAGAATCATCATCAGAAAAACAAATATTTCCTGAGTTTTGATTCAAATAAAACCTCGATACTATTCATTAGAATATTGTCAATTTGCCTGATTCGCACTATTAAAAACAATAATTATCATTAATTATTATAATCACCAAAATAGTTGGTGACAATATCATCACCATCAGTATCATCACATGTAAACTAACTGTCAGTGAAGTGTTTGTAGATGAAATGAATTGTCGACGAAACGAACTGTTGACAAAATGATTGTCGATGAAGTGAATGCGACCGACTAATATAATTAAACAAGAATGTAGAGGTATTTTTTTTTTATTTCATTATTAATAATAGAAAAGAAGTTTTACAGAATATACATTACAAATAAAGGGGTTTAAATAAGCATAACATGATAATCAGGTTTTCTTCTAATAAATGAAGTATGTGCCATTACAACCTGGTAAACCATTTAATCATAGTAGTAGTAATAGGTTAACGGCTTAATAATATTGTAGGATTTACAAAATAATACTTTATCGCCCAGAAAATCATCATTTCTGGCGCATTGTATATTCGTATGTATGTACATATGTACAATGTACTAAAATTCCTCGTATAGGTGTACAACCATAACGAAGCTGTACGAACTCAATTGTACATACGAAGATTCTTCTCATACAGCGAAATTGCACAACCCTGGTTTAAGTCATTTCCTTTATTACCCTTATTATTACTGTTTTAGTCACTTTCTTTATTATAATTGTTAACCAGCCAGATCCAAGATGCTGAATCTAACAAAATAAACCAGCGCAAATGTGATGCAACTCCTAATTCTGAAGCTGAGATCTAGCACTTGTTTTCTTCTTGCACCCTCCCCCTCACCGAAGCTGTATATCTTGTGTACCTTTGGAAGGCCCTTACTTGATGGCCACCCTCCTTCTCTTCATATTACTAAGTCTGGAATGCCCAGAATGTGGCATCTCAGAGCGGAAACTAATTTTTCACATGGGAGGAAGTCATAAACACTGTAATTACTTGGATTCTTGTGATTGGGTCTCACTCTTTGCAGCAGAATACGATTCTATTGTTTCCCTATGTCTCTTACTTCTCCTCATCAGTAGATATATTGATAGAGCCAATAGTAATCATGTTTCGACTTTCATTGCATAGTATTGCAAGTACTGCGGGATCACGAGTTTTAGATCTGGTCATAATAATTGATACACACCAATGCTTTCAAATCTTACAAGTTCTATAATGGCAGCCGCTTCTGCTCTGTCTACTGATACCACTACTAGCTTCATGAGTCTGTTCATGGTATAAAATGCCATAGGACATACCAACAATAGCAGATATCCTTCATTGTTCAGATCACACATGATGGCGAAATAGGTTTATTTTAGTGATGTTAGCTGGCCAAGGAATTTTTAAATGGCTTAACCAACTAAATAATCTCTCTTGACGTTCATTTTTACATCTGGAATTTTAGTGCAAATTCAGTGGCATAGACATTTAGTTGAGATGGGTCCACCTGCATTACTTAAAATGACAAAAAATCATACATTTGCTCAAAAACAAAATACAATACACCATAGCAGGATAAAAATTATAGAGTTTCTATTCGTAATACAAATTCTATTTTAATTCGAATTTATTGTTATTCGTTTTATTCTAATTATCCATTCTATTCGAATTATTTGTTCTATGTATTCGTTTTACGAATGTAATTCGAACATCTGAAAAGTTTTTTCATCAACTGGGATTTATTTAAGTTCATAGTCGGCTAAGGTTTTTCTACCGGCTAACATCACTAGTTTATTTCGATTTCGATTTCGATAATCATGATTCCAACATTTCGATTCCAATTTTCAAAATTCGAAATTGGATTCGAAATTAGATCAAAACTAAGTTTGAAATCTGAATTCTAAATTAAAAAAAAATATTGGATTCTCAAAGTCTTTATTTCTCAAATTCTAAGAGTGCTGAAAGAACCTCCCGACATTGCTTAGAACATGTTAATAAAGATATCCGGGCAAGTATGCTTCCACCTGTATATATTCCAATGATAATGGAACAAAAGGAGGCTCGCAGTTGATGCAAAAACATTTAGCGAACAGATGTTCCTATTAAATTAAAACAATTTATCTTACATAAATATCAAAATGACAATTTTTTGGATGAAACAGGTTCTCTGACAACCTTTAACTCTTCAAATGTTCTTTCTTCGTCTAATAATAATCAAAATCAAAAGAAAAGGAAAAACGATAACCAAAAGGAATTGGATGATTTTATTTTGAATTACTATCAGAGTTTCAAATTAGGTTAATCACGATTTTTGATTTCGATTTCGAAGACTTGTGATTTTTTCGAGTTTCGAATTTTATTAAACGATTGTCGTTATCATGTATGGCTTGCATCTAACCCGCTTCAACATATCCATTGTAATATAACAACTTTGAATTGGTTTATTTTGCATGTGTATCCTGAAGGTGTTTTTCAATAGCATGAGTACATTTGGATGCTGTCTTACTTCCTTGCTCCAGTTGAATTGCTTGTGATTTTGTGAATGTAAGCCGGCCCAGATACAGATGTCCTTAGGGTGTGTGGTGTTACAGTTGACGCCTTACAAACTCTAGATATGGGCCATTTAGAACAGTCTTGATTTATCCGTTTGTGTTGTACTGGTATTGTTTGTGCGCTGATTGGTAGACCTTTGGTATTTTATAATTGATTGGTTTCGCTACCTGGTCATTCATAGTAACATTCATTTTTGTTACAAGATATATTATTGTTGTTGTTATTATTGTTTTTGCTATCGATTATTAATTATTGTTGTAATTGTTTTATTATTATTAAAAAATTTTTTTTAATTTAATTATTTCTACAAACAATTGTTTGATGATGGCGTTGTTAATTTGAATTAAAATTAACCAATCAGAATTTGTATTTCAAATTTTTTTTTTTACAATTGATTGATTGTACATTATACACATATAATAGACTTTCTAATCAAGAAGTCCACGATTAAGGTAATTTCCCTGAAAAAAAAAATGTCATTTATGCAATAAGCATGATAATAGAAAAAATATGGACAAGAAGGTAGGAATACATACTATTTTTTATATAATAAATTTTTTGAAATTGTTACAATTTGTTATGAATAGGCTCTACAAAAAGTCCAGCTTTACAATCGCAAGGATGTTGAGAATACTAGTTTAACAATCTTTGCAAATATGTTACACGTATGTTTCATATATAAACGTACATGTAGATAGGGATAACTTCTGCTGTACGAATAATCGTAATTCATTTTAATTTCGAAATTGTCAAGTATTTGAATACTCGTGATTGTTTTGAATGCTCGTAGTTATTTCAAATATAATTTATTTTTAATCATATTCGAAAATGTTACGAGTGTAGTATCACGAGGATCCAAATGATTGCAAAGTATCCATAGTGATTATTAATGATCACGAGTATTCAAATAATTATAAATATAAATACATGAAATAAATTACGAATATCCAAAATAATTACGAATGTTCGGTTAAGCGTTGTATCTCATATTAATATGCAAAACTCAATTTTGATCTAGGGGGTTATAACCATATTTTGCTAGAAAACACCCATTAAAATAATTGAACCAGTGTATATAAAATTCGTTGATTGGATAATCTACAATCCCAAATCCCAAGAATACATTAACGCAGCCTATTTATTTGAGAATACAATTTAAATACTTGATCTAAGAGATATATATAGTCACCCCAAGAATAACTGAAGCTTTTCCTATGTAGGCAATATATAAAAGATTGCCATTAAAGGTATGTTATTTTTATAAATTTTTTACAAGGCAATGGATATAATCAAAAAAGCTAGCCTAGTTTAAAATATTTCATAAGATTTGGAGTATTGGACTGGAAATTTGTTTGCCATAGCTATTTGGGTTTATTGATTAACTAACTAACAAAGCTTAATGTTATGCAGGGAAAAGGCATTCGTTATTTTGGAGGGTTATTCAAAATTTTCTTTTTGAAGCTCCTGACCCAGGTATTCTAAAGAATCGAGAGATTACCAATCGTCCCTTTCGTGAAATCAAATAATTGATGGACCAGAAAAACTAATAGTCCCAGAGTAAGAAAGATATAAAAAAGCCTCGTCATTTTCAACATTCTTACAATAATGTTTGGGGAAATGAATTCAAAGGTATCACTTGCCAATTTTACATTCTTATTGTGAAAATGGTATTTTGTACCACATAAACTGTTTTGTGGCGTTGCATATTAAATATCATACAATATTATTGTTTGTATTCGTAATTATTTCCTGAAAAATGTCTTTCAACGATTTAGAAAGGGGCGTAGGATCTAATAATAATAATCACAATAGAAGATATAATGGTGGAATTTCAACAGAAATTTCAGGTGGTATGTATGTGGAACTTGATAATATTCAAGGTATTTCTTATTAAGTTGTATAAAAGAAAAAAATATCGAGAAAATATAATGACACCATTTCAATATTTTTTTTAGAAGTATTTGTTTAGGATTAATACCCTAAATAACAAATTATTCTAGTTTTTCAAACGAAAAAAGGTTCTAATAAAAATTAGAAAGCTAAAGCTATTGTACATATATACATTATTGTCATCTATATAGACGATGATATAGGATATAGAAACCTTAGCAAAGATGTTTCTCAACAAATTTTTAAAATTACTAATAATGTGGCCTCAATACAAAAACTTGTTGGTTATTTGGGAACATCTAAAGATACTCAAGATGTAAGGAGTAAATTGTAAGCGATTATTTTATTTTTATTTATTATTATTATTTTGAATTTGAAGCTAGTTTTGTCTTTTTTTTTCTTTTTTTTTTTTAATAATAAATTTTTGATGACAGACACACATTAACCGAAGAAACACGGCATTTTATCAAAAAAACTAATGATAACATTAAAGCACTTTCACAGTTTGAAGGTGTTACTGGACAAAATGTAAAGAAACATTTAATAAATTTTAAAATTTCTTATGATAAATTGAATAATAATGTCATATATTATTCCTATCATTGACATTATTACTTTAGCGTCAACGTAAACTTGAGCAACAAAAATTATCAAAGGATTTTCAGAAAACACTGGCAGAGTTTCAAAAAGTGCAAAGAGTTTCTGCAGAAAAACAACGTGAATATGTTGATAAGGCAAAGTCCCTTAATATTCGAAATGATGCTTAGTAAGTGTTTGGAGTTACTAGTTATTATTAAATCTGCACAACCATAAAAATAAATTTCTAAAAATAAAATTTTTTCTTAATATTATGTTATTAATGATAGCGAAGAAGAAAAATCTGGTGCAGCTGAAGAGCAACCTTTGATAGATGATAGTCATCGAAGACTTCAACTACAAGTTTTAGATAATGAGATTGAATATAATGAATCTTTAATAGCAGAACGTGAAGGAGAAATCAGAGAGGTTGAACAAGGAATTAACGAATTAAATGAAATATTTAGAGATTTAGGGACTTTAGTAACAGAACAGCAGTCAATGCTGGGTAAATATTATTTATTTATTTAATCTGTAAAAATAATTGAGTTTTTTAAATAATAACTTTAACAAAATATTTATTTCTTTAATTTAAAGACAATATTGAAAGTAACGTTACAAATATTGCTGTAAATGTTCGAAGTGCAGCTGATGAATTGAATCAAGCAGATAAATATCAGAGAAAAGCAAGAAATCGCAAATTTTGTCTTCTAATTGTTTGTGCGATTGTTGTAGCATTTGTGTTTTTTGCTTTACTCCAATAATATATAAGAATTATTCGATTTTATTTTTTCTAATTTTAAATTAATCAATCAAATTTTTTCTCTCAAAAGTATTGCGCATGAGAACATTATAAATTTATTTATTATATTTTATTTTATTCACGTGTTTATTGTTTATTGCATTATTATATTTTTTATATTATATTTTTATCTTTATATCCTATATGTATAGTGTATTATTATTTTATTAATAAGATAAAAACTAAGCATGTGATTTGCACAACAAAGATTTACAGTGTCAAAAATATACTTTTAATATTTTGTTTTTATTTTGAAAATATCAAGAGCCATTGACCATATATACCAAGAACTTATGGTAAAAAATGCTCCCGTGAAAAACAAAAATGGTAATTGGTAAAAATGTTGCTGAGGCTATAAAGAATTTTCTTGGACATTATTCCAAAGTCCATGGATTATCAAGCTCAGTGAGGAACATAAATCGATTAACCTAATAACTTATATTCTTATCAGCAGAAATGAGCTATAAATTAGTTCACAGAGATTTTCCATTTGAAATGATGCCATTTGTAAATTATGAAATCAATTAACTCTTCAGATTCAAAACTTTGAGTCTAAGAACAGATTTATGTGATATTTGCCATATTTGCCATATAAGGTTCACAATCAGAAGAAGATACAAAGAACATCTAGCCAAAGCCAAGTTGAAAACCAAATTGGCAAAGGCAAAGAAAATCGGTCAATCAGAGTTATTCATTGTAGTGCTAAAGCTATGATTTACAAAAAAACAACAAAATATTACAATTGAGTTTATAAAAGAACAAAACAGAAGAGGAAAAATCAGATCCTGAAACTCAACCTTAAAGACTTGGAAGTACTCCAAAAATGAAGAGAATGACAATTAGCTGAGAAATTAGAACAATTAGAAACGGTTAAAAAATCAGGAAATAAATCAACAAGCCCAAGGAATTCGGCAACTAAAACAAGAATTTACATTTAACCAAAAAGTCTTTACCAGCATTACCAACAAATTACAAAAAATAATTCACCTAAAAAGGAAACAAGAGAAACTAATTGAAGTTAGACCCAAGGAATCTAAACCATATTAATTCTTTCTTATCAAATCTATTTTATCTATACCGATAATTAACTTGAGCAATAAATTAGATTTTCTTTGTGTTAATGCATCAATTTTTTCTGGAGGAATGTTTGCCGGAATAACTGCACAAACTTGATCAGTGTTTATTTTTTTGTGTTCTGGAAGGAAGTTGAGAATGTTGCGAGAATTTGTTGTCATATTTTAAGAGAAAGATGCCTGTCAATAGTTGATTTTACAGTAAAATCAACAATATTTTCCTTCGACATAAAATTCAGGCAAGATTCATAATTCTATGACAAATCAGTAAAATTTCTTAATTTGGGATGGAAGATTACGTGTAACAAACTATATTTTTTTTTGAAAATATGAAAAACTCAACATGAAGATATTTTTGATTGTTTCAAAGACAGAGCGCTATATTCATGTATATTAGTTAATAAATTGTGGTGTGATTAATATTGGTAAGTTATGGAAGAATCCATTTTCTTTGATTAATACTATCAAAATATTAATTAATTGTCTATTATTAGTAGAACCAAAAACGTTCAAAGAGAAAGTCAGAATTTAAATTGTTAATAGATGAGCATAATAATAATAGCAGTAGCAATAAAAACAAAAATTTGCACATATACTATCAATTAAAAATTAAAGACAAATTTTTTAATTAAAGAATTGTTCAGTTTGATTATGAAATATTCAAAAATTCAAATACTTGATTTGGATTTTATTATTCTTCCTCTTTGTCAAATCTTCTTCATGGTTGGTTTTCAAATATTAAGGAATTAGAATGTTCAAACAATAACCAATCAGAATTATATTGAAGGCATGAATAAATTCAACAAGTAAAATTGTTCAAATAATATTAAACATTGAAGATGATTCATTAACATATAGGATATTAAATACACTACCACTACCACCACTACCGCCACCACCATCATCATCATCACATCATCACCAATTTCTAATAATTTAGAAGCATTATTTTTAAAAGATGGTTATCAATTTAATAAGTTATATAGTACATCAAATAGGATTATAATTAACAAATTGGGTTCAATCACTTTTCCAGTCTAAAGAAATTCATTTTTCTTACACACATAACTGTATTTCTGGTTTATCCTTTGCAACAGATGCAGTCAAACAATTATTGGGTTCAATTGAAGAAAACAGTAAAAATTATCATAATTACAATAATAGTTTATAGTTTAGATAAACAATCCTAAAAATATTAGAGCAATGTGATAAATTGGAAGGTTTCTCATGTTGGTGGTTTAAATTTTGATAAGGTTATCAAAGTTCTAGTTCCATCTCAAGCATCACAAAAAATCTAAAATTTGTTTAATGAATTTACTATTAGATTTTTTACAAGAGAATAATAAAAGTAGGAAAGGTTCTCTTCCTACTACTGTTGCTACTACTCCTTTTGTTTTAATATATTTTAAAGAATAAATGATCTGAATATTTTAATTTTTTTCCAAGTTAGCAATGTCTTGTATAAACATATATTTGATGGTTCTCATAATATGAAAACCTTTAAAGACTACAAATATTATCAACTTTTATATCGTGATTATCAACAAATTTTAATTTTGGAATTAAATTTAATAAAAGATTTTTATTTAGTAAAACAATTAAGAAAGGCCTCAATATCAATCCGCATTGGTCTAGTGGTTAGGATCTCCCGCTCTCACCGGGAAGGCTGGGGTTCAATTCCCCAATGCGGAATTTCTTTTAAGAAATTTATAAATAAAACGTGAATACTTTTTTTATTACAATTTTTAGAATCTTTCATAAACTATTTATCTACGAACTAAATATTATTATGATTACCATTAAACAGGCGGTTTATTTATTTGATGAATTATTTTTAATCCAAACAAATTTACATTTCAGCCTTTCTGTTTGATGAACTTATGTATGAACCAGTTCAAATCACAATCATTAAAGATTTTTGACTTGAACATACATATTTTTAAACAATGATTGCACATTAATAATTCTCAAAACCATTATATATATTTATTTATTTATTTATTTATTTCTTGCTTCAAAAAAAAAAAAATCAATATCTGAAATATTAAATTTTAAAAACTTTTTTGAAAAAATTACTTGAAAAGTTAAGCTCAAAATGTCATCTTAATTGAAAATTAATGTGGCGGGATCAATACAACTAGAATTCTTGGTGTTCATAAAATAACACAGTGTTTCATACTATTAGAAAATATTTATGGAAAAAAATCTTACGTAAAAACAAATGAATTGGCAAACAAAAAAAATCAAAGATGACAGCTCTACACCAACAATTCTTGTTAAAAAGTAATGAACATTCAAAATGGGGCACACTAGAAAATGACGGGACACGAGGTTCAGTCATTTATTATACCTGCCACCTGTCCTTTTTAGTGTTTACTCACTAAATTTATAAAGGAACAGGCAGGCGAGTGGGACAGGTGATTTATAAAAAAAATAGGTGTGAATGGCAAGACGATAGGCATACATGGTAGCCTGTTACATTATAGATTTAGCGCGCGAAGATTGAAAAGGACAAGTGGCAGGCTGCCCTAGCACAGTCAAACCTTTTCACAACGATAAAGCAGAAACTTACCAGCCGGCCTAAATGATTTGATTAGCTTAGCTGGACTGAAACAAACAAGAAATTAATTCAATATTATGGAAGAAATTTATGCTACATCCCAAAATAATGAAATAAAAAAATAAATTAATATATAAAATTATATGAATATAAAAAAAACTAATTATTCAAAAAGTTTTTTTTTCAAAAGTAGATAATACTCTTAATTTATATTGAAAAAAATTTCATTTGCCTTCTTGTGGATTAACAGTATCTGTTTGTTTGTCAATTGTGTAAAAACGCGTCATTTTTTAGCGCAGAAATTTAACCATGGCTGACAACAACTTCGTTACTGGTGTTACTATCATGTGTTATCAGCAATATTTTTAAATAAAATGCCTCCAAAAAGTAAAGTATGAATTTTGCTCATATGCTCACAATAATAAAAAAGAATATGTCAATTGGATCGAACAAAAATATGAGGTTAGGATACAGCGCTGATGCTGAATGACTCCAATCAGTGCCACACATACAATTCAGCAATTGTCTATTATTGATTTTCCAAATTATTGTTTTTTTTTTAATTAAATTATACTTATAACCAGGTCAAATTCAGAACATACCATCATCATCCCTACCTACAATATAATTTCTAAAAATGATGATCATTTGGGGCATACTGTAACAAAACCAAACAAGGTGAACATTATGCCACAAAGAAATTTCAATATCACATCCAAACAATACTTAATGTGATTTCGGAATTCATCCATAAAATTATTTGAATGCACAAATTTTCAGTGAAAGCCTTTTTAGCTGTTGTGACATCAAAGTCCTCTGCCCTCCGTTTTTGACCCCATATTAGGCTACCAATATAATGTGTGATTGTGATGACACTTGTCTTTTATTTTTTTCGTCATTTTTTGTTTCTCATTTTCAATATCCACCGTATAAGATAATTGATGCAATTAAGCAAAGCATCGAGCTGATTTCAAATTGTTTCTTCGTTAGGTTATTTATTACCTAGTGTCTTTTCTTTTGCATACATACGTTTATCAGTATCTTTTAACTTTCTCTTAATCTATGTCCTGTTTTCTTGTAAACAAAATTTTTCCTTTTCTAAAAGGCACAAGATGCACTTTGTAGTGGCCCCAAAGGAAATTATCACCACCATCAAGTTTTCCTTCTTTTCAAATTCTCTTTTCAGTCTTTCTGTCTCCAATAGCTTTCGAAGATAGCTGGATTCTCCCTGTTTTCCCTAATTGATTCATATCGAATTACTGGTTGAGATGTTGCAAACATTCATCTCAATAATAGACAATTTTCAACTTGATGCCTTTTCTTTTAACTTCCTCTTTGATAAAACAACGGAGACAGCCGAGTTGTTATTTCTTTTTTGTTGTTTGTATTTTTATAAATAAATTGAGTCGCTCAAGGATACCAAGATCATCCAGAAAAGAACATTTTAAGAAACAAGTTTTGAAAAAATTCCTTATATACAATTGCAAGTCGTAAAGTTCTTTAAAAAATATTTCTGTAAAGTAAAATGAATAATATTAAATCTGAAATATTGAGCTTAAGTTCCAGATTTAATAAATAGAACTATCCTTTTGTGATACTTGATTCAGCAGATCTTAATATAACAGATATTAGTGAATTAGGCAATTTGTGCCAAAAAAGTTACTTTTTTTCTTTACTTGCTAAATTGAGTGAAGTACAAAAATTATAAATGCTGACCCAAAAAAGAAAATATTTTTCGGCTCACTTTCACATAAAAAATATTAATCAATCACGAAATTAAGAGATGTTACCATTATATAATATCTTCCTATCTATAATGGACAAACACCTTGTCATAACAACCTTCACTTTTATTATTATCAATTTCTCTCTATTGCTATTGTGGACAAGTACACACTGTATTTTTTTATAATTAATTATTTCAATATATTCTAGCAAAATGTGGTTAGTATTAAAGGACAAAATAAATTTTTTTGAGTAACGGTCCCTGCAAATTATATCACACATATGTTTTAAAGTTTCCAGTCTTGTATATATCTCATTATTGTGCTAAGCAAACATGGTCCGATTTTCTCATTAGTTGTAATCCTTATTTGTATATTATTATTCATTATGCAAAAAACCTAATTTGAACCTAGCCAATCAAATATGAGAGTGTTTTAATTGGCCAATTTCATTTCATGTACGTGAATCGGATTCGCATTATCTCAAACAAAATATTTTATTACTTTTATTACTTTTTTATAAAAATATTATTTTCATCAAAGTTCCTTTAGAATTTAATGCCTAAAACGTATTTTAAAACCAGTTTAACTCTAGCAGCATAGTGGAAATTTGATTTCGTTGGCTAAAAATTTGAGATGATCACCATCCAAATTATCACAAATTTCACTGTGTATAATTGAACAAACCATTGTGAGTAGAACATAACTACCATAGATAATTAACACAACTTACATTATAATTTAAATTAATTAGGACGAGAATGTTAACATTTATTTAGTTGTTGCACAGTAGTCTCGATATTTATCTAAAATATTATCTACTCTGTCCTCACCATCAAATCATTTTACTATTCATTTCTAGTAGGGTTGTTATGTTGATTGACTTTCTAATTAATATTATATAATTAAGTCTTTTTTAAAAGTATATATAAATGAATAAAACTCTCTTTACCTGTATATAATATTTCTTAACCATTCATCATCTATTATTATTGTAATAAAAAAAGAGTTGACGAGAATATTCAATCATTCTTTACAGTAATCTTTGGGACAAAAGAAACAATTCTGATCTGTATATATTCACTAAAGCTTGAAATGTGACTCCTCCTATATAACCATCTGAAAACGATTTGTATTTTTACCCACATACTGAGAAGATAGAAAGCGAAATATATATATATTATATTAATATATATGTATCTAATTGAAATCGTACTACATTCGCCAATTAATTTTCCAGGTGTCATTTACTAAAATGCTCACGACTAAATAAATTTAGTGAAGGCTGATTCCTTATTTTGATGATGATGTCTTTACTACTAAACATATTTGCAAGGAAGTTAGAAGCAAAATAAAAAAAGTTTAGCGACTAAATAATCCAAAATATATATATTTTTTTAATACTTATAAAATTAATTATTGTTGACAGCATTTACAAATTGGTAGTTGATTGTAATACAACGGTTCATAGTTTTACAAACATTAAAGCAAGGAGATGGTTTTTTTAATTTAAATTTTAATACAAGTGTAATAATCAAATAGAAAAAATGTAAATACTTTTACCCCTTTTTGAAAAAATTTAAATAAAAAAAATTTAGAATTCTACTTCTCTCTCCTCTCCTCCTCTCCTCTCACTCACTCTAACAAATGAAATTTTGTTTTTTTTTACTTAGAATTTGAAAAATAATGAAATATTCACCGATAATATTTAACTGAATAAAATGAAAATATTTACTTATTATTTTATTTTAAATTTAAAGAATTAAATTTTTTTTTTAATAAATTATTTATTTAACAATAAAACTAACTAACGAGTAATAAAGAAAATAAAAAATGGCAAGAAGACAACCTACAAAACCTGTAAATGATTTGATAAAATTTTGGTCTGAACAAGAGGAAAAAAAAAAAGAACAATCAATAACATCACCGATAGCAAGATCTCCTACACATAGTAAAACTTTATCTCCAAATGCATCTACTCCTTCTTCTCCTAGATCAGATTATTTCTCTCAGCAGCAACAAAACCTACATCAATTAAACACCAAGTTATCACCTACAACTTCTCCTCGTTTATCACCTACAAAAGTAACTTTCCAAAAAATATTATCTGAAAATCTTTTATCAAGAATATCTAATGACTCTAGAGTTAACGACAGCAATGATAATGATGGACAAACAAATAACAATCAAAGCAACAATAATGCCGATGATGATGATGATAATAATAATAATAATAATAATAACTTTTTTACTGATGAACCCGAATCTTTACTTTGTAATAATGACAAAAGTTTCTCAACTATAGATAATAAAAACTCGCATTTCAACAAAGATGATCTGGATAATATCAAATCATCGTCAGAAAATCCTCTTTCTATAGTTCCTCTTAAATCTATACCACCCGTACCGCCGAAAGGTTCTTACGGCTTGAGTACACTTGAACAAAATCAGGCTTTACCTTTATCTCCAACTAAAAAGGTTTCAAATTTAGTATCTCGTTTTGAAAAGGTTACTCCTCCTCCTACATCTCCAACAGCATTATCACCAACAAAAAGAAATTTCACGACTCCTGAACCAATATCATCTCCTACTAGATTGGTTTATGCTGATTCAATAGATACAAAACCAGCATCACCATCATCCCCTTCTTACTCTACAACACATCGATCATCTACAAATTCCATCATTTCTCCACCCAAACAAATAAAAATTACAAAAACCACCACCACCACCACTTCAATAGAAAATCAGCAACAGCAAAAAAGTAGGCCATCAACATCACCACTTTCATCATCTTTTGAATTTAATTTGCCAGAGTCCATATTTACTTCAATATCATCAATTCCAACTGAATCCAAAACTGTTTTAAAATTAAATGGTGATAATAGCAACAATAACAAGAACGATAATGATGGTTTACCAATATCAATTAAATCAAAAGATTTGCAAAATCCTAAATATAAAAGTTTACCTCTATTAGGAAAGGCCTCTTCAACATCTGCAACTAACGACCTGTCATTGTCATCATCAAATTTTGATGATGTTTTCAACGAAATCACGCCATTTTCTTCGGTTTTACAACCGCTTTCGGATCCAAGATCAAACAACAATCTTAATAATAATAATAATAATAATAATAATAATAAAAACAATAATGATAAAAATAAAACCAAAAATAGCAGAGAATTTTTTACTTCAAAACGAAATAGTTTTGCTGAAAAGATGAAAAAACGTACTTCAATAATACGTAAAAATATCCCAGAAAATATTTTTATCAATAAAGATTTGTCATCAATCACAGAGTCCGGTTCAACAAATTTACCAGAACATAAACCTATTTCACCATTAAAGATAGATATTTATAAAAATAATAAATTATCGGCTCCGTCAACAAATAATGAAACCAATAACGATTTTCTCAATGCTCCACATCCACATCCACATCCACATCCGCCTCCGCCTCCGCCTCCAGTTGCATCATCATCATCATCATCATCATCATCATCCTTTTTGTATGGTTTAGGTGGTGGTTTGGGTGGTTTAGATGATGGTAATTGTGAAGTTGGTAATGTAGATCTAGTAACTTCGTCAGTCTTTTCATCTTTGTCAGATTTTAAAAATCTACCAAGATTTTGCATTAATTCGATCGTACCACTTATATGTTTGACAAAAGTGCCATTCTTTGCTGTTCTATCATCATTTTGCACAGAAGCAGATTTGGCCATATTGGTTTCCTGCATCTCCATTATAAAAGCATTTGTGTCTTGTGCTGTAGGTATAGAATGTCTTTTATCAGTTGGTTTTGGACCTACTACAACTTTATAGATATCAGGATTTTCATTGTTTGTCATATCCAAAAAGGGATTGTTACTTTCTTGGGAATGACTCTTATATGGATCAGGGTTATCATGTTGTTGATTTTTGTGATTTGAATCGGATGTTTTCAAGTCTTGATCAGAATGCATCGGATATTTTGAAGAAACTTCACTAAAAATGCCCCAAGAATCTCTTTCATTGCCGAAAATATTTACAGTTGGCAACAAAAATGAGCTTTGGTATGGTAGTGGTCTGATGTTACCCCGT